ATTTATTTTTTTCTTTGTAATTCTCTCATTTTCATAATTCATGCTTTTTTCTGTTCAAGATTTATTAAAAATATTAAATAACTTAGTAGGTTATCGGTTCTATTTATGTATTACGTAACTGTTATAGTAGACGATCTAAAAAAATAAATGTACTAAGCTATAATTCTTTATTCAAATTACTTACTTAAAAGTTTACACGATGAGTATCCAGTTTATCATTATTTAAAAGGTATCAATCATAAAAACAAGCCCTTCCAGTAAGCATTATGTAAACACTCACTAATTATAAATTGGTTAAGTATTTGACAATCTTTTTGTTAGCCTACTCTAACTCGAATCATTTTATTAGACTTAATCACCTTGTAAATTCCCTTGGTATCGTTTACTTGAATCTTCCCATTGATGTTTAAGTCTCTTTAGGATTGATCAGTCTCTCATTTGTATATGTGCATACTGTGTGAATTGCCTCGATATTGCCTTAATTTACAAGCATTATAAACAAAGATGGATAATAGCTAGCAATGGAATCCAGGAAGCACGTTCCGTCCTATTTGGGACTCGTCAGCTGAATGTGCCTACATGTCAGAGTTGATACCTGCATCTCAGAGTTTATGTTCACTCTGAGACTCGAACCCAGTATAATTTGCTTCAAACTTCATCGCATTATCCATTTATCTACTGAGTCCTGAAGGTACATCCGACTGACGAGTCCCAAAGGGGACGAAACGCGCGTCCTGGATTACATTGATAGCCACTATCCATCTTTGTTTTAATTATCTTGCTCGTTTGAAACTTTCTGATTCTGTTTTATATATCCGATCACAGTATTAGACATTTTCTAGTTCAAATTATTACGAGTAATACTTTAAAGATACTTATAATGAATTGTATATACTGAAATCTAATTTTATCCAGTTTCTCACTATTTTAGTTTTCCGAAGTATCAGTCAATGAATGGTAATTAATATTATTGTTATAACTATTCGTAATCTTATGGTCAATTTATATATCTGAAACAAATGAGAATGATTTATTATAATACTTAGATTGTGATCAATAGATGAATCTAAGACACATATTAGGACTTTTCGGCTGGATATATCTTTACTCTAATGTTTATAATTACATTAAAATTCAAAGTCAGCGCTAATAGCTTCAAAAACTAATACGTTATCTATTATGCTACTGAGTTCAAATAACCACTGAATTGTTCACTGGGTGTTAATGTATAGTTGTGGATAGTTAAGACATCACATGATGAGTTTTTGTTTTCGTGTGTGTTTACAGAATGAACTGAATCAGTATAACCTATTGCCATAGGGATCGTAAAGATATGATAAACATGGTAATATTTACATCTATAACTTCAAATTTTAACTAACATAAAGATCTTCAGTCACCTCATACGTCTTCCTTTATTTCACTAGTAACTATTTACTTAATTTCTATCTAAATGTAAAAATAATTATAAAGTATTATTCATATTATTAAAATGTAAATTTATACAAATAAATCTCATCAGTAAAGAATGGTGTTACATTAACTCATATATGATGCGGAAGATATTTGAGATTCCAATTTCTGACGTCTTTTTTTAACTATTATTTGATCCATACCATAGTAGAACTGATTTAAACGAATTTATTACTGACGTACAACTTAAGTTTAAAAATATAAAACTTTGAGAAATCAAAGGTATATTAATTTATGCAGGACAGTTATCCTTAAATGATCACTGATCTTCAAGCTACAGTATGAGTAAAATGACTGACATTCGAAAAGTAAACTATTTAATGTTATTTAACTTGTCCTAATGTTAAACGGTCTTCCTCAATTCAGTCTTAGTTGCGGTGCTATACTCATATTGCTGAAAAATTCCATACTAGAACAAAATATCTATCCTATATATTAAGCTTTTTTGATTATTGTCTAACTAATATCAGTCTTTCATCGATATCTTCAAAGTCGACCATCTTCAAAAGACCCTTTAATATCAATATATTCCGTGTTTATATATTCACAAAACAAGCCGAATAATATATTTACCTCATTTATAATTAAAAATTTACCGATTGTCTTACAAATGTAAATAATTGATGAATGTAGTTAGAACTAATGTAACAGTCTTTATATCTGTAACATATATATGTTGATATCTCTAAAAAGAAAAGCAATGCAATGTTCTATACGGTATGATAAATTGAAATGTAACTATTAACCTATATCTGTTCATTAATGATAATGACAAAATAGAAAACAAAAATGATTTGCTATATATTATACCAGATAACTACATTTAATACAGTTCCTGAAGATAATTCGATCAGTAGTGTTCATTAATTTCATTATGAATCATGAAATGAATAAACGAATCTGAGTTTGACAACTAAATTTTACTTTTACAACTGTGAAAATATAAATATTACTTAATATTCTGAAACGGGGTTATAAATAAGCAAAGATGGATAGTAGCTAGCAGTGAAATGCAGGACGCGCGTTCCGTCCTATTTGGGACTCCTCAGCTGGATGTACCTGCATCTCAGAGTTCATGTTCACTCTGGCACAGATCAATTGAAGTCTTAATCCTCAACGTGAAGATGAAAGCAAAACAATACCAAATAAGTTTATAAATAGTTTAAAATTAGCAAACTACTTATAAGTAGTTCAAAATATTGCAAAGAATTTTCAAATTCATTTACCAAATAATTTTACTACTTCATTCTGGTCTATAAGTTTTAGTAAAAGAATATAACTCAAGTTTATACAAACCTTCTATACATATTTTAAACAGATGCGGTACATTTTGGTTTACATCAAAATGAACTATTCTTGTCAGACAGCATTTTTCTTCCTAAAAATCAATAGTCAATTCAATTTATTACAAATGAAAGCATAAGTAATAATTGTCAAATAGGTCTCTGGCCTGAAGAACATTTTAATTTAAAGGTTGATATGATAAATTGTCATGCATATTATTTAGTGATATACTGCTCATTTTAGTTTCCATTTTAAAACGAAAAGCACTATGTAGACTATTAAATTGATATCGTTTTAATATGACATCACCCAGAAAAAAGTCAAGTATCTAAATCTATTGATTGAGATCATGAATTGATGAGCGTTAGACCACCACTGATAACGCGCATTGATTCATGATCTCAATCTAAATTTTAAAAACCTCTACAACCCTACAATGATCATAATTTCAGATTATTAAACTTTAGGTACATTAATAGTATACAGTATTATTTCGTATAGTTGTCAGTGCAAAGTGTGTTATACTTTACTTACAAGATTAAAAAAAGTTTTATACTTCTTTTCACATAACAGTTTAAGATTTTGATAAACTCAACGAAAACCATTCACAGTACATTGTGAAATTGAAAATTTTTTCTTATTCAATTATTTCTTTAAGTATAACAATAATAAACTATCCATAAGTTGAACAAATTACTCTCAATTATTATCTATTTTTAACCCCTTCTGATAATAGTCAAAAAGCGCTTACTAGTGACTGGCTTTAACAAGCATTTCCTGGAGTTCTAGTGCGAGTTCAATCAGGTCTGTTGTGAGATAATAACTCACTGATGACAATGGTGGATGTGTCGCGTAATCTCGTGGAATTATTAAAGTTAGATATTAACACCGCTGAACTCTGGCCGGCTCAGTGGCCTAGGTGTTAAGTGTTAGCGGGTGAGATCGGTAAGTTTTGGGTTCAAATCTCGCAAGTCGGGATCGTGGATGTGAACTACTGGGGAGTCCCATAATAGGAAGAAACGGTTGTCCAGTGCTTCCAAGTTTTCCCTGGTGGTTGTCTAGCTTCAAATGACTGATGATCTCAACTATTAAAATTTTATCAACAGACAAAGTTTCCCAACATCAAGAAAACTTGTAGAAACTTGACTTCAAAAGCAATAATACAAATGTTTCTGTGCGCTTAATATAAGTGTAAAATTATAATTATTTTTAGAAAGAAAATAGTGATTATAATGTCTATATGTTTTTCTTCAAACACACACACGCACACCTAGACAAATAAACTCATACTTCTCTTACATAATCCCACACAAATGAAAGTTTATTTTATTTACCTTCAAAACTCAATATGAAATTAGTTTCAGGATTATTTTTATATTAATTTAATTCAGCCATAAAACTTTGGATTTTTTTACTTTCCGATATCACGAAATTTCATCAATTTGCGTGATAGTTTTAGAAATAATTATATGTAAAGAAGAATAGATGATGTGAACAATTAAACTTAACAATATGAAATACACCTCATTTCGGAAGTATGCTCAGGTGGAAATGGTGTTATATCATTAGCATTCAGTTGTTAAATGATTTGATGTTCAGTAATTGCCGCCAGTGAATGAGCTAACTATTCATTCGTAACTAGATAAAATTTGTTGCACAGAATGTATATAGTTCGTTGAAACTCATTCATCCAAAGTGGCAGATTGTGTAAAGGTTTAGAATTTATTGTATAATTAATGTTCTGTGACTGAAATTAGAAGTCATGGTCCGCTAGGAAATATTTCATTGAAGGCAATGGAACAATGACATGACATACCTAATATTTATCAATTTATTTTATACTACTTACAAGTACCTAAATCCGCGTTTCAAAACTTTCTGCAATTTACTGTTTTGATTTAAAACTTTTGATGTCATAACATCATTTATTGAGAAATACGTATTATAATAACCGAAAAGGTATATAAAATACTATCAAGAAGGGTTTGGTATATTTTGAAATGCAATTAGCATGTATAAAGGGAATAAATTTTCATTGAAAGTTTGAATTCTTCAGATGTTACCTAGCGTTAAATTAGTAATATATATATATATATATATATATTAGATTTGTATTAAAACTAAATGCATTGAGAACTTGACGTTATCTCTTTCGAATTTTTTTTCTTTTAAATTTGACTCTAACTTTTCCTCCACTTTTTTTTCTTTTATCATTGTCATTTATCAACATTAACATTGTGAAGAAAATAAACCTGAGGCTAAATTATGTGGAAATGGTAATATATGTCTTTATGGAGGAAAATGTTATGATCCATTAGATCATTATTATCAATCAAAAATTATAATGAAAAAAATTTTACCGTTATATTCCAATTGTATTTGTGAACATATTAATTGTTTAAATGAATGGCCTGATCCAGTCTGTGCAGATGATGGTGAAACTTATACAAATCAATGTTTTTTAGAACGTGCAATTTGTGAAACTCAATCATTAAAACGTATACTTTATCGAGGCAATTGTGGTAAGAATTATTTTTCTCTTTCTCTTTCTTTCTTTACTTTATAAGGAATTAATAAGTAAATATTTTTCTATATGTTAATTGAACGTCATAGATGGGATCTATGATGCGTCGTAGATATGTAGTACTGAGTACTAAGCGTGGATGAGATAGTTGTCTTAGACTTCCTGATTATCCATGATTTTCTAGCTAAGATTAGTTTATTATTCAAAGCCGAACTCTACAACTCCTATAGTAGAAAAGTAATATTCGTTACCTGTTGCATATTACTAAACGATAAATTATTTGAATAATTAACATTGAGATATAAAAGTCGTAAAAAAGGGGTCAGACAAAATAAACAATATCAAGAAAAGTATAATGATATAATAAAAGGGTTTTTAATGCAAAAACTTATAATATTGGGTCAGATCTCTGTCACCGTGTATATGTGAATGGGACACGTTTAAATCTGGCTAGAGTGTCGTAATTTCATTAAATAATTATGTCACTAGCACAGCACCTTTAAACTTACCAATCGACAATTTAACAAAATACTCTTATGTAAATAAATGATAAATTTGAACAAAGTATAAATATTCTATCGTGTCAAACCAATTAACTTTAACTAGCAATCTGTAGAATAAATACAAATACCTAAAAGATTAAACTAATCAGATATTTATTACATATTATTACATTACTTTATCAGTGCATTCTATAAAAAGTACACGGATAAACAATGTAAGCTTTAAAAATGTAATCATTATACTCAGAAATAGAAACATTATACAAAAATACTCAGTTGAGCAGTAAATCTTATACATCGCTTTTTATGGCACGAAAATATCTGATTATAGTTAATTAATTAAAGAGAAAACGGTGGTAGTTTGATGCCCTGTCAGATCTTATCAGCTACAGTAATTGTGGTGGTCGGTGTTCGATATATTCCTTAAACTCCGTATACAGTTCGTCTCGGTAACCGTCACCAAATAATGCTCCAACGGTATGTTAATCAGAAGGCGAATACGAAGCGTTAATTACGTTTATTAAGAGACCACACACAGATATCCAAAATTACAGATGCGTTAAGCAAGCATGAAATAGTTGTGCCGAAAGGCAAACAGGCAAGCGAGCGGGCGAGAGAGAGCAAGGGCAAGAGCGAGCGATCGAGCGAGCGAGTCATTAATATGAATAACATGGACATATATATACATAGTGAAATTAATGAATCATCAAGTCAATTAAGCGGTTAATAGTAAAGCTAGTAGCGTGAATAAATGCGTAGGCAGTAAGGCTTGCCGAGCATACATATTCATACAAGGATAACAATAATAAAGGTACATACATTCGCAACAGTAATAAGGATACAATAAGTTATTATAGTGCAGGTGACTTTGTCCGTTTAATAAAGTTAATAAAAGGGCTTAACAGAATTAGGTGAGAGCAAACTCAATTGAACGTGAGTTGCTATAATAGCTCCTCCCAGCAAACAAAGATACAAAAGTGTCTGTGTTTGCGAAAAAAAATGTCAAATTTAAAAAGATGGGAAATATCGAAATTTACGAAATTAAGATATATGATAGAACTATCGTATAAGTTATTAAAAATATGTGTAAGTTTGAGTTGGTATATGTCAGTGAGGCCAAATAAGATCATAACGGAAGATCGAAAGAATACATAAAATTTGTTGAATATGATAATAGATAAGCTAAAATTTTCGCTTTGTACCTAGAAAATGAACATTAAATTTACATTCGAAGAGGTGAAAGAAATTATCAATTCAAAATCGTAGCTATGTATCGTTGCGGCCATCTCACTCTTCGGCCATATCTCGTTGTTACTGGATTTTCTTCGTTTGTGTTGGTCGATGTCGTTGATGATTGGAACTCGCGTTTCGGTGGTTCGCCGGTTTTCGAAATATCTGTATATATTGTCTGACCGTCGGTTTCGATGAAAGCTGGTTTGACTCTGTCGATGCTAATTACATCCGTTTTTCCAGCTTTTTCTATCGTAATAGTTTTATCGTTTCTTTTAATCACCTTGAATGGACCATCGTAGGCCGGTTGTAAGGGACGCTGCACATTATCCCTTCTGATAAACACATGGGTACTATCGGTCAGTCGTTTTGGCATGTAGACACGATGTTGCTGTTGCCTCGGAAGCGTTATCCTCAGATCACCCATATGTTGCTTTAGACGTTGTACATAGTTGGCTATATGCAACGGGGATGCCCAGGGACTATTAGACGGTCTTATGATACCAAGCTTCATCAATTTTTCGAACTCTCGTTTCGCAATCTTCAACCTATTTGGGTCTAGCCTCCGTGGTCTTGCGTTGGCCGGTGGACCTTTTGTTATAATATGGTGCTGTACAGTGTGTTTAAGATCTCTGTTATCGTATGATGCCCTCGTCAAATCAGTGAACTCATTTAGAAGCGCTCTATATGGCTCGCTTTTGTCTTTTGAGACTACTAAATTCATGGATACGTAATCGGTTGTCACTCCTTTTACCACTACTGAATGGTCTTCGTTCACGAGCCGGTTTCGTCGCGTATCCACTAGTAAGTCGAAATTCTTTAAGAAATCAATACCAATTATAGGTACGGATACATCTGCGATGACGAATTCCCAGCGGAATGAAGTGCTACGACCAAAATTCAAGGTTATTTTACGCTTGCCATATGTTTTTATATCGGATTTATTTGCTGCCTTAAGCGTAAGCGCTGTATTAATATTTCGCGTTTCGTTACTCACTGGAGGCACAACGCTTACTTCTGCTCCAGTGTCCACTAAGAACTGAGCACCTGTTACTCTGTCCTGAACGTAAAACAAACGACTGTTTCTAGAAGCTGTTCTAGTTGTCGCGGCGTTTACCGACAATCGGTGTGATCGTTTGAATTTACATGGTGGTCGACAGTTTCGAGCTTTGTCGCCAAACGTTTGGTGGTACCAACATATTGTAGGAGCTGGGCGTCTCCTAGAACATGATCGACTTCTATCTCTCGACCTACTTCGCGACCATTTTCTTTGTATATCGCTCTGATTTAGTTTCATCAACTTGTGGCATAAAACGTTAATCTCCTTTTGTAATGCGTCGATTCGTTCATCTACTGTGGTATTATGTCTTTGCGGACTCGTTTGTTTCATCCTCTCGTAAATCCTATCGGCTATATTAGCAATGTTGTCTATGTCGACATCGCTGTCCTCAATCGCGAGGATCTGCTGAACGTTCGGTGGGAGTCGTCGTAGCCATAACTGATAAAATATGTTTTTATCTATTTTTCTGTTTCCAATTATGCTTCTCATATAATTTTTTAGCTGCGACGGAGTCCTATCTCCAATCTGCACTTGACTGAGAAGCTGCTCGACGGCTTGTCGGTCACTTAATGAGACGGCTTTAATCACAGCCTGTTTAAGTGCGTCGTATGGCTTTTCGATGTCTGGCTTAGTTAAAAACTCTCGTACATTGTCGGCTACTTCATCCGGAAGTAGTGAGCTCGCATGGCCGAATTTATCTCGCTGTAAATGAACACGATTAGCAACAAAGTAATGTTCGAGTCTAATAAACCAGAGTTCAGGATCTGTGATCTTAAAAGGAGGAATAGTTACATTCATGGACCTCACGGACGAAATTTGTGGAAGGTCTATTGTGTCGTTATTTAAAGACATGATTATAAAGATCAAAAATTATACGTAAATACTGTAAATGTCACGGAGAGCAGTAAATCGATAAAAACAATGATAATACAAAATGGTACAATTAATTACAAGGAACGGACTTACTAAATTGCACCAAAATATCAATTGTTTGGAAAATATCGTTGTTTATTATGAATATTATCGTTATGTTCAATAATGTTTGTGTGATAATGTACGTATAATTAAAATGGTGACATAATAAATCCACAGTAATGATTATAATCCAAATGCTAGCTCGAATTGAAATACAGTGCGTTGGATTCTCGGAGTTGGATTACGTCGTCGAAGATTGATTCTTGCTCGCACGTTGGGATCACCAATTCTGTGGTGGTCGGTGTTCGATATATTCCTTAAACTCCGTATACAGTTCGTCTCGGTAACCGTCACCAAATAATGCTCCAACGGTATGTTAATCAGAAGGCGAATACGAAGCGTTAATTACGTTTATTAAGAGACCACACACAGATATCCAAAATTACAGATGCGTTAAGCAAGCATGAAATAGTTGTGCCGAAAGGCAAACAGGCAAGCGAGCGGGCGAGAGAGAGCAAGGGCAAGAGCGAGCGATCGAGCGAGCGATCGAGCGAGCGATCGAGCGAGCGATCGAGCGAGCGATCGAGCGAGCGATCGAGCGAGCGATCGAGCGAGCGATCGAGCGAGCGATCGAGCGAGCGATCGAGCGAGCGATCGAGTGAGCGATCGAGCGAGCGATCGAGCGAGCGATCGAGCGAGCGAGTCATTAATATGAATAACATGGACATATATATACATAGTGAAATTAATGAATCATCAAGTCAATTAAGCGGTTAATAGTAAAGCTAGTAGCGTGAATAAATGCGTAGGCAGTAAGGCTTGCCGAGCATACATATTCATACAAGGATAACAATAATAAAGGTACATACATTCGCAACAGTAATAAGGATACAATAAGTTATTATAGTGCAGGTGACTTTGTCCGTTTAATAAAGTTAATAAAAGGGCTTAACAGAATTAGGTGAGAGCAAACTCAATTGAACGTGAGTTGCTATATAATGCTAAATGTCTTGCTGTTATAGTAGGATTTAATTAATCATTCTGTTCGTATTACGTAGTGCGAAAAAATATTAACACTTCTTTAGTGGCCCTATATTTGAATTCAACTAGATCGTATGAATGATTGTTATCAAAATATATATACGATTGTACAGCTTGATAATAAATTTGTTGAAAAGAGATCCCTTCGCTGAACTTTGTGTTTTAATATATACATTCTGGCTATCATCATATATAACTATCGACTTAACTCGCGTTAGTGAATAACGGATTTAAAATAAGTTAAATACG